TGTAATAATTATTATGGTATAAAATATTGTCAGAAAGGCTGAAATTGTGTTTCACTATCTGATTATATATGTTTCAATTTGTTAATTTATGTAAACTTTAGAAAATTAAAGAGACTCCACTGAGCAAATCATCTCCTGGAATAGCCACTGTGTATCATGTTAATCTCTGTCAATATTTTATATACTAAATACGAAAAACTATATATACTCCTTGTTTAGACCATGCAGTCTAATCTGGGATATAGCCATTACAATATCAAATGATCTAACATGAAACAAACACATATACAACAACACAACAAAGGCGAATCAAACACTTGGTTTTCTACGCCGAAACATCAAGGTTCACTCAGAAAGGTTAAAGTCAACCGCATACAAGACACTTGTCAGGCCCCAGCTTGAGTACAGCTCCACGGTCTGGTCCCCCTACATAGGAACTCTCATTGACCAGATAGAGTCCGTCCAGAGAAGGGCTGCTAGGTGGGTCAAACATGACTTTGGCCGTATGTCAAGTGGCACTGACATGTTGACTTCCCTTCAATGGAGGCGCCTTGACCTTCGGCGTATTGACCATCGCCTGGTCATGTTTCACAACATCTTGCATGACCAGGTGGCTATCCCTTTCCCAAAGTATATCATCCCTCTTTACAAGGTCATCTAGAACATCCATCTCCATGCATTCCAACAAGTCCAAACTAAAACTGATTACTATAAATATTCATTTTTCCCAAAGAAACATAGTCCACTGGAATGCTTTACCACCTGATATCATAAACTTGTCTGCCCGAGTTCAGTCTGGCTGTAAGCAGGATTTGAACATACGTCTCCTTCCCAAATACTTTTTCTGTTTTTTAACCTGTTTTAAAAATATACTCATTTTTCCATTACTTAATATAATTTTTTATTTCACTCTTTTACTAACATTCTTGTCAGTTGACGCGCATCAAGTCTAGGTCCGCCGCAGGGGTTTGACTATATGGAAGATAGATAGCCCTCCGCAGATAGAATCAGGTTCAGCTCGGCCCTCGAGTCAGCTCGGCACGGGTCAGCTCGGCCCACTTTTCAAATTATTAATATAATGGTTTGTTTATTGTGGGAACCAAATAATTAATGTTTTTATAAATTATTATCACCAGCTTTTATAACCAAACAATTACCATGTGTATGTTTATGGGTACCAATTAATCAGATGATAATTATGATTAATGCTAGTTGAACTAATTATATTGCATGAAGAGATATTGTGCTATTTTGTTTCAGGGCAACATCTGGCCTCTAATAACCAGAATGAAAATATCTCAGAATCTAGCTTTGGCACATCAATATATTTTTGACTAGATTGAGGGGATCATTCAAAATTTGATTAATATCCACTGCAACTAATTAGAAGCTTATGATAATAAGTGAACATATTTTTATTTCATATTTTTATTATAGATTACTTTACAAACAAAAAGCATCAAAAGAAACACATTAAAAATTTTGTATTATATTAATTTTTAACGAATAAACATAACAAATTTCTTCTAAATATACTTTAATTCTGCAGAAGTACAATGTACAATTATATAATGATATACCAGATATCTCTTTTTATTCATTTAAAAAAAGGTGCCTTGATAGCTTGCAAGTAATCAGAAAAAAGTTAATATGTGTAATATGTTTTATTTTTTTTTTACAAGTGGGCTGAGTTGGTATAGGGCCGAGTTGACTCTTTATCCACAGATATATATTTATATATAATACATGCAATGGGAACAAGATGCTTCAACTCCCAGGCACTTTATCCCTCAAGGCACTTTACTCCCTAACTGTCTAACATCAGAAAGACAATTAACGGCACACCTCTTATAATTTTTGAGTAAATATTTCAACACCAAATAGAATTTTTGTGACAGAGCCTTTTTTGGGAAAATGACAATATATTTATGTTATAAGGTCTTCATTACAAACATAATAAAAAATATGTCAAAACAGTTTTATTCACCATTCACTAGTCTACATATTTTCACCTTGTAAAATATTAAACCAAAATATGGGGGGGGGTAAAAAGTGTCTCTATCAGATTTCATAGGAAGAGTCCAACCCGCCCAAACTTTATGATCATACCAATAAAACATAAAAGTATACATGGTTGTCAGACTATTCTCCCTCTTAAAAGTTTCTCGCCTAATGTTTCCTCCCTGACCGATCTCCCCCAACATACTTCAGTTACTTTCATGGCTGTCAACTAATAACCAAATGAATATTATCTATCAAGGCATGACAAAATAACTCTTGATATACTGCCTGTAAAATACAAGCACAATTAAGATTAATTTTCAGTTTTATTTTAATGTACATGTTTACTTATAAGTACATTGTAATTTGTATCTGTTTTTCAGTAAACCAAATCCAAATATAGAATCCCTGACACAAAAGTTAAAAGAACTAGATATAGACGATCAACAGCGACAGAGATTGGAAGCTTTCTTAACACAGAAACAGAAAGTTGGTGAACTTACAGTAGATGTCTTTGATAAGATAGGAGAACTTGGAGCAGGAAATGGTGGTGTTGTAATGAAGGTTCGTCACCTTCCAACAGGCCTTATTATGGCAAGAAAGGTAATTTGTTGGCAAAATTTTAAATCTATATTGTAAATTTATAATCCGTAACCTGCTGACTTTCTTAAATGGAATTGCTAACTTCCAATATCTTTTCTCTTTTTTGGGGTTTGGGATGGGGGTGGTGGGGGGGGATCAAGATGAATGTTTGAGGTAAGATGGCCTACTGTATAGATATGCAAACTGACCTTGCTCTATACTGGTGGCAAAGGTTAATCTGCATGTTAAGTATTCTAGTGTATGCATATATGTTTAAATTAGCCTTAATGCTATATATTAAGACTAATGATTATTTTTTTGATTGTATTTCAGTTGATTCATTTAGAAATAAAACCAGCTATTCGTAACCAGATTATACGAGAATTAAAAGTACTACATGAATGTAACTCTCCATATATTGTTGGTTTCTATGGGGCTTTCTACAGTGATGGTGAAATTAGCATCTGTATGGAATATATGGTATGTATATTAACTTAGGTAGTAGGTAATTAATTTTGTACGAAATATTCATCTTTATTAGCTGGTCAATTTTATATATTTTTGGCAGGGGTGGCAAAGTCAATTGTCCCCATTGCCCTTTATGTCCCACAGCCTGTACAGACAAGTGGAAATTTTACAGAATTTACTATAGTATATATCATACAGACAAGTTAAGAAATGCTTTAGATTAAAACAGACAAATATAAATCAGATTTGTCGGCCCTGTTGGAATATCTTTTGTGTATGCCTTTGCATTTGTACATTCATATCCTTGATGTGGATTTTGAGCTAGTATGTACAATCATGTACCTTTAATTTCATAAAATAATGCTGGCTATGACTTATTATAATATCAAGCAAATAAAACTAAGAACATTTTATGTTATTGGTAGTTTTAAAAATGAATCCTGTTTGATTTAAGAAACTTCACTATAAATAGGTATTGTATATTTGTGTTTTGTTACAGGATGGAGGGTCATTAGATTTGATATTGAAAAAGGCAGGCAGAATACCAGAACCAATTCTAGGAAAATTAACATCTTCTGTAAGTATAAAAGAATAGAAAAAAAGGCACTACACACCAATACTGAGAAGGGGCATAACTGTAATAAAGATATACCACCATACTGGTTTCGAATCTATAGACTCTTTATCAGGATTAACTTAAAACAAAATTTCATGTATCAAGTATCCAATAATACTGCATGTTTGTAACGCCCCTTTTCATTGCATAATCATGATGTTTATATAGTTTTATACACACAGCAGTTGTGAATTTATCAAGAAATCTCACTTTTTTCTCTAAAAGAAGATGCTTGCTGTGTCATAAATTTGTTGCAAATATTTCTGACAGGTTATATGACTGTATATGAACGACTTGGGTTATATTTCCAAACAACCGTTAATACAAGGCCATTAACCTGTCAAAAATCTTTATAAACAATAAAAACTATGGAAGTCACATGATTTTTCGAAAAGTAGAATAAAAAATGTTCAAATCATATCTGAAAATAGTTACTAGTTGGCTTACTGCCAGAAGAATGATGTTATTAGGCGGTGATTTGTTATAAAATTAATATAAAAAATATTTATAAAGTATTTTATGTCAGTATGTTAAAATCAATGTTGTTTCGGCCAATGAAAGCTTGTCTGACCAATAACTAGAGCATGCTTGGCCTGCAGTCCTAGGATTTGGTGTGAAGGTTGGTCTTGACTAGAAGCTTACCTTCTATCGATTTTGAAGCAATTAGATGAAGGTTACAGTGTCACATAAAATACTTGGCTTATCAGGAACAAGTATTTCCTCAGTCAGAATTTAAGATTTTTTTTATACTTACTAGTTATAATGATACTATTACTATATGTTACTTTAATATTGATATAACACTAAATTCTTGACTCTTATAATATATGTACAAGTGTAAAGATATACCTCTGTGACACCAACTGAATTATTCAAGTTTGATTTTTACCATAAAATGACTTACTGTTAAGGCTGTTGAATTTTGACAAATTTGATTTATAAAAAAAGTCATTTAAAAAAATGTTTCCTTTCGAACCCCTAAAATGATTTTCAGTGATATGTTTGCCTAAATGGAAAAAAAAAATAGTGAAGGGCGGTCACACCTGTACATTGGCTGTTGTTAACTGGTATATTTGTTGATTTTTTCCAGGTTCTTAAAGGATTGATATACCTTAGAGAAAAACATTCAATTATGCATAGAGGTAAGAAATATGTTTGTTCTTGTACTAGTAATATTTACCGAACCACATTTGGGAATATTTAGGCAAAGATCTGAAAAATAATAGAGAAAAGTTGAAAGCTTGAAAATAGAATTTGTAACTTGACTAAAAATATTGCTCAACAGATAAGTAGCAAGTGAATTTCAGTCTACAGGGTATGCATGTAGTCCAAACATCTACAGATAAATTTATGTGTACTCTGTTTTACTAATAAACTATTGAAACATTAATTCAAATAACATTGCTTGAAACAAGATAGAAATCGCATGGCATAACAACTTATATTATTTAATAGGAGTTAACCTATTACTGCATTTAGATGGCAATATGTCCTTCACTTCTTGGAAAATTATATTCATCATTTCATTCACCAATTACATATTCTCCCCCTTCAAAGTGGTGATTTTGAAAGGTCCATTGGTATGTCTAAATTTTGTAAGATTGGTGTTTTTCCATCAAAATAGTTTAAAAAGTGCCATAATAATGGTCACAATATTTTGATATCACATGGCAATAATATATATCCAATAAGCTGTCTTTGTACATTTTCAATTTAATAATACAAGAGTATTTTGTTTGTTTTATATTTTACTAGATGTAAAACCATCAAATATCCTAGTGAATTCACGGGGTGAAATAAAGATCTGTGACTTTGGTGTGAGTGGACAGTTAATTGATTCAATGGCAAATTCATTTGTTGGAACAAGATCTTATATGTCTGTAAGTATAATAAATTGACACATTCTGTACTACAAATGATTTAGAAAGTTATTTCCACCCATTGTACAAAGTCAATGATGGATTTACCATAGCTGAATATGTTGACAATAAATACAGTAACCTTCATTACAATTGTATCAACTTAAATAACCTGTAAGTATTTTAAATTCTGAAGTTAATGTAAGAAAATTGCAGTTGCTATGTGCTGATACCTGTTACGTGTAAAAATGTGTACATGGGTCTCCATTCACCAGTGAAATCTGCAAGTCACCATATATGGTACTAAATAGTATCAGTATTTTAGTTTTACCAGTATATTTGTCTGTCCATCACTTTGAAATAAAGGGGCATGAGCTTGTTACTTCATAGAGTTTTTATTACAATTATATCATATTCAAAAGGTTATGATGGGGCTATATTTGCCTTATGTCAGAAATCTTAATTTATACTTGGAATTGGGTGAATATATTTAAAAGAAAATGTTCTTTCTGTTTTTAAGTCATGTTTAGCTTTTTACTTTTAAATTATTACAGACAATTTTCTGTCTTGTAAAAGTAAAGGTTTATAATAACAGGGTTGTCATTAAAAGTTTTCTGAGACTTTCTGCATATTAAATTTGAGGCAGTCATTTTTAGTTTTATCACATTCAGCAAAGACTGTTTTCTTAGCTTTAAGGTGGTCCAGTGTGCATTTGAGACAGGCATTCTGGTCTACGCCCGCCTCTTATTGACAACTATTGGTGGAAGGATTAAGCAGTTTTTTTATAAACTTTTATCCTATTGTTTTCAGCCTGAGAGATTACAGGGTACCCATTACACAGTTCAGTCTGATATCTGGAGTGTAGGGCTTTCTCTTGTAGAAATGGCAATAGGGCGTTACCCTATACCCCCACCTGATCCTAAAGATATGGATGGTTTGTTTGGTGAGAATGTGATGGAAGAACACCTAGAGGCAGCACGTACAGGAAAAACATTAAAAGGTAATACTTGCATATTGACATTAATGATAGTGGCGACTTAGGCAAGCGGTGAACTTGTTGGACTATGAATCTAAAGATTTCCGGTTGCTTATATTTGAACCACTTAAGGCAAGCTGTTGTTTCCTTAAGCAAGAAACTATACACTTATTGCATAGTACTGGTTAGTTCTAGGAATGGGTTCAAAAGTGTTTCTATAAGCTTATAGTTTCCTACGCAATAAAATTGAAATAAAAGCTAAACTAAACTGGACTGATTCATTGTTTTTTTCGTTTTTAAAAAAACAATGTTAACAACTACAACAGAGCTTGTATCATACTGATATTAGATTGATATTAAAATGACCTGTCACTGGAATTTTTAAAGTTGAATGTTATGGTTCTATTGTTGCACTAGAAGTTTGAATAATTGTTTGGGCACTTTATTAATATCAATTATTGAAAAGGTTTTAGATTAATTTATTTTTAATGGTTATTAGTAATTCTGTAAAAACCTAACTGTGTCTACTATTTGCATACATAATGAACAATGGAAGAAAGTATTTCTGTAAAGCAAGGAATGCTTACATAAAAGCAGTCTATGACTTTTAAGGGAAGGATACATAGTTTCGTTTCCTGAAAGAGAGATTTTTAGGTGAACATAGATGCGCATCACACTTGCTGTTTATAGAAGGTTCTTCATGCCTTTACAATATCTTAGATCATAAGTATGTAGGCCCATGGCATGGTAGGATTAGATGTCAGTGAGGTCAAGAAAATTTTACCTGTTGTATGGCTATGTTTGTAAGCTGTGACAAAGCAGCCCCAGGAGCTGGAAGAGAATCCACTCATGTCTCTGATATTTCTAATTTTTATGCCCCCGCCATGTAATGGCCGGGGCATATAGTGTTACCCTGTTCCGTCCTTCCGTCCTTCCGTCATTCCGTCCTTCCGTCATTCCGTCATTCCGTCATTCTGTCATTCCGTCATCATCAGTTTCCGTTCATTATCTTAGTAACGGTTGCACATATTCAACTCAAATTTGACATATGGATATGTCATGAGAAAATACAGGTCAAGTTCGAATTTGGTCATGGTTCCATGATTTTTGGCAGAGTTATGCCCCTTTTACTTTGAAAATAATATGAAATTTTCAGTTTCCGTTCATTATCTCCCCAACGGTACAACACATTCAACTCAAATTTGACATATGGATATGTCATGAGAAAATACAGGTCAAGTTCGAATTTGGTCATGGTTCAACGATTTTTGGCAGAGTTATGCCCCTTTTCCTTTGAAAATAATATGAAATTTTCAGTTTCCGTTCATTTTCTCCCCAACCGTACAACACATTCAACTCAAATTTGACATATGGATATGTCATGAGAAAATACAGGTCAAGATCGAATTTGGTCATGATTCGATGATTTTTGGCAGAGTTATGCCCCTTTTACTTTGAAAATAATATGAAATTTTCAGTTTCCGTTCATTATCTCCCCAACGGTACAACACATTCAACTCAAATTTGACATATGGATATGTCATGAGAAAATACAGGTCAAGTTTGAATTTGGTCATGGTTCGATGATTTTTGGCAGAGTTATGCTCCTTTTACTTTGAAAATAATATGAAATTTTCAGTTTCTGTTTATTATCTCCCCAACAGTACAACACATTCAACTCAAATTTGACATATGGATATTTTTTTGGAATGCCAAAGTCAAGTTCGAATTTGGTCATGGTTCAATAATTTTTGGCAGAGTAATGCCCTTTTCACTTTGAAAAAAATATGAAATTTACAGTTTCTGTTCATTATCTACCCAACAGTGTTACATATTCAACTCAAATTTGACATATGGATATGTCAAAGGAATGGGCAGGTCAAGTTGGAATTTGGTCATGGTTCGATGATTTTAGGCAGAGTTATGTCCCTTTCACTTTGAAAATAATATAGATACATCTTAGGAATAGGCAGTTTAAGTTTGAATTTGGTCGTGGTTCAATGATTTTGGACAAACTTATCTTTCTTGAATATTGGAAAAAATTTTGAACTTTCAGTTTCAGCACTCATACTTTTGTGGAAATGTATGTAGCCATTATTTTGGCTACAAATATGAAATATGCTATTTTCAAAAGGTTAAGACTGAATAATTTCAGTGCTTTGAACATTGTATGAAAATGGTTTGTGTTAACATTGAAAAGTTTTAAGGGCTTTGAACTTAAAATGAAAACAATAATTTGTGCAAACAAATTTGGAACTAAATATAATAACATCTGAAATTTTGGCTGCATGCGGGGGCATCCGTGGCATGATGACACATTTCTAGTTTTATATTTTTTCCCACTTTTCTCTTAAGTACAAAGTACAGTTTTTAGAACAGTATACGCTCTTTACTCAGACAGTTTCTTCCTCATTTTACTGATACAATAAAAGATTCGCATTTTGTCAGTATATGAGACTTTAATTTTATCCATAGTAACAGTTTGTGTAGAAGTTTGAAATTATTTAAAAACAAAATATTTGAAGGTATTTCTTCAAGTCAGAAGTGTAAATATCTATTAGATTATCTCTTTCAGTATGATAAGTATATGGGTTATAATGACCAGGCTTGTTTATTATTGATATATCATTTGACTCCTAGGAGTCCCCCGTTTTTTTGTGCCCCCACGTTAGTGGCAGGCATTTAGATTTACCCTTGTCCGTCCGTCCGTTCACTTTTGTGTCGCACGTAACTCAAAAAGTATTTGACCTAGAGTCATGAAACTTTACAGGAATGTTGATCAGCATGTGTAGTTGTGCACCTGGGTATTTTCGTGTGGATATTTTTAGTATTTTCAGAGTTATTGCCCTAGACTTAGTAAAATTTTGCAATTTTCAACTTGTGTCGCATGTAACTCAAAAATTATTTGACCTAGAGTCATGAAACTTTAAGGAATGTTGATCAGCATGTGTTGTTGTGCACCTGGGCATTTTCGTCTGGATATTTTTAGTATTTTCAAAGTAATGCCCTTGACTTAGTAAAATTTTGCAATTTTCAACTTGTGTCGCATGTAACTCCAAAAGTATTTGACCTAGAGTCATGAAACTTTACAGGAATGTTGATCAGCATGTGTTGTTGTGCACCTGGGTATTTTCATCTGAATGTTTTTAGTATTTTCAGAGTTATTGCCCTTGACTTAGTAAAATTTTGCAATTTTCAACTTGTGTCGCATGTAACTCAAAAAGTATTTGACCTAGAGTCATGAAACTTTACAGGAATGTTGATCAGCATGTGTTGTTGTGCACCTGGGTATTTTCGTCTGGATATTTTTAGTATTTTCAGAGTTATTGCCCTTGACTTAGTAAAATTTTGCAATTTTCAACTTGTGTTGCATGTAACTCAAAAAGTATTTGACCTAGAGTCATGAAACTTTACAGGAATGTTGATCAGCATGTGTAGTTGTGCACCTGGGTATTTTCGTCTGGATATTTTTAGTATTTTCAGAGTTATTGCCCTTGACTTAGTAAAATTTTGCAATTTTCAACTTGTGTCGCACATAACTCAAAAAGTATTTGACCTAGAGTCATGAAACTTTACAGGAATGTTGATCAGCATGTGTAGTTGTGCACCTGGGTATTTTCGTCTAGATATTTTTAGTATTTTCAGAGTTATTGCCCTTGACTTAGTAAAATTTTGCAATTTTCAACATGTGTCGCACGTAACTCAAAAAGTATTTGACCTAGAGTCATGTAACTTTACAGGAATGTTGATCAGCATGTGCAGTTGTGCACCAGGTATTTTCGTCTGGATTTATTTAGTATTTTTAGAGTTATTGCCCTTCACTTAGAAAATTTTTGCAATTTTCAACTTGTGTCGCAAGTTACTCAAAAAGAATTTGACATAGTCATTAAACCTTATGGGCAGGTTGCTCAGCATATTTAGATTTGCACCTGGGGTTTCGCTTGTGGATTTATCCAGTATTTGTAGAGTTATTTCCCTTGACTTAGTAAAAAGATTGACAGAACAGTGGCGCGGTGGGGGCACCCGTGTCCTATGAACACATTTCTAGTTTCTCCTAGCTTAAAGCCTGAACATAGCCTGGGTATCATAGCAGTGTGTGTGCCACTGACAGTAACTCCCCCACCCCACTCACTTAACAGGAGAAAAAGAAGACAAAGAAAGAATAAGATAAAGTGTTTATAATTGAGCTTAAAGTTTCAATATTTTTCATTGCAAAAATTATTTGAGTGATGGTTCTTGATGTTCCATAAAGCTTTGACACATTTTATTTTATTGTTAAGAAGTTACATTTTTATTAAATGTATAAAAATGCGAAGATTATTGTAAAAGTTCATGTACAATTTCCCTGCCATTTACAGGAAAGTGACCTGCTTGTTGGACACTGTGATCTTTGAAGAGGAGTGAAACACATATTCTTCTTGAATTTATTAACAAATTGACTAACTAGTTAAGAGTTGATTTCAGGTTGTTTGGGTGACTACCAGGTGATATTTGGAGATGGCCCACTACCCATGGCCATATTTGAACTCTTAGAATATATAGTTAATGAGGTAAAGTCATCATGGACAGGTTGTGTAACTCTTTCAACACAACCTAAACTTTTTTCAATGTATTACCTCCCTTCAGTTCTTTTTTTTCAAGGTGAATTGCTGGAGAAATCATTTTAATATAATTAATTTAAAAAAAAATATAATGATAATATTGTCATTAAGCATGAATCGTTCATCATTTCATTATAGTTTTACATAGCTTAATAAAAAATGATAATTATTATTTTTATCTTACATCAGCAAGCATTATATTAATTAGAAAACACATTAAGAAATTCATTTGATAAAGAAGTTTCTTCAAACAGTTTTGTTATGATATAGTTGATGTCAGTTGTATGAAGGTTTACTTTTATAATTTCATTTTTATTTAAATGTTAAATTTTATGTTACTTAAATGTAAAATTTCACGTTCCTAAAACTTTTACAAATATCTCATATTTCAAATATTCTACAGTCTACATCAGGGTATAGTTTGTCATTTTTTTGTACAAGTTTAGTGTACAGTTCTTTTTCTTGTTTACAAACACAAGTATTACTGCCAAAATTTTTGAAATTTTTCTTCTGAAATAAAAGAAGAAGAAAGACTTTGATGATATTGTTTTTAATTGAATGAATAGAACATTAAAGCAAAATGATTTCTCTAGCGAAGGTGATATTTATGTAAGGAGGGTAACTTTTTCTATTGTTTATATATTTTATGTTTTATAAAGATTGTTGTCATGGTAACAGAAAAAGGAAGCCTTGCTGTCTTTGTACATGCTATCTGCCAATGCATTACAGAAAGATGGTACTTTATGCTTTCCAGCTTCACAGAAATGGATGTTGAGTAATTTCACAGTGTTTAACAAATATGTGACAATGCTAAGAAAACAAATGGATAATCTTATGGTTCTTCACAGATAATTGTGTGTAATAGATTTGTTCTAATTTATTAAGATTTAGATTGTAAAATTTAGCTCCTACAGGGCAAGTCTTAGTATATACCATCAACATTTGCTTGCTGTCATCTCTAATAAAACTCTATAAGAAAATGAACAAAATTTAATAGAAACAAAAATGTTCATTAATTTTCATTGATACAAAATTGAATTTTAAGATGTAAAATGTTTGTTCAAATTACATTCTCATGCTGAAAACTTGAAAAAATCACCAGACTTAGACTAGTCACAATAAGAATTGACCTTTGCTAAAGGCAATAATAACAGACCTAGACTAGTCACAATAAGAATTGACCTTTGCTAAAGGCAATAATAACAGACCTAGACTAGTCGCAATAAGAATTGACCTTTGCTAAAGGCAATAATAACAGACTTAGACTAGTCACAATAAGAATTGACCTTTGCTAAAGGCAATAATAACAGACTTAGACTAGTCACAATAAGAATTGACCTTTGCTAAAGGCAATAATAACAGACCTAGACTAGTCACAATAAGAATTGACCTTTGCTAAAGGCGATAATAACAGACTTAGACTAGTCACAATAAGAATTGACCTTTGCTAAAGGCAATAATAACAGACTTAGACTAGTCTCAATAAGAATTGACCTTTGCTAAAGGCGACAATAACAGACCTAGACTAGTCACAATAAGAATTGACCTTTGCTAAAGGCGACAATAACAGACCTAGACTAGTCACAATAAGAATTGACCTTTGCTAAAGGCGATAATAACAGACTTAGACTAGTCACAATAAGAATTGACCTTTGCTAAAGGCGATAATAACAGACTTAGACTAGTCACAATAAGAATTGACCTTTGCTAAAGGCGATAATAACAGACCTAGACTAGTCACGATAAGAATTGACCTTTGCTAAAGGCGATAATAACAGACCCTGGCTAGAAACAACAATAACAAACCTATGTTGGTGACGATAATAAAAGACCTATGCTAGTGGAAATGATAATTGACTTATGCCAGCAGAAATAATAATTGACCTATGCCTAAAGTATAGGGGATTTTCTGCCTGTACATAATGTGCTGTCTAATCAGACTGTATACAATAGTTTGTTAAATGGTAATTTTGTGTCATGAACTGTTCAGAGTGCAAAATAGGGAAAGTCCATAAAATGTAAGGGTTGATCATGATAAATGAATGAGTGTTTAAAGGAAAGATATGAATGTTAAAAAACTTGCATGGTCATGTTTTGAAACATTGGAAGAATCACTTTTGTTTAACATTTTATTTATGTTTTATTTGCATGGTTAAACTATCTATTTTTTGTATTTCTTTATGTTTATTTTTTCTTAATTAAAGGGAGGTAATACAGATTTCTTATACAGAAGTATATTTGCAGCATGAACTGTATACATATAAGAGAATGGCTTTTTATTCATTAAAATAATGCGAAATGACAAAATGTGTATTATGCCATCCACACCTAAAATTACATCAGTGTCATTCAGAGACTTGACTTGCCATCCCAGATCAGTGTGAGCAGATGCTTGAGTTGCCTGCATTACATGGCTTTATAAAGGGAGGTGCCCCATATAAACTTTTTTTCCAAACCTTTCTTGCTCTGGTATGAGATGCTGTATTGTCATGAAATAATTGGTTTTGTTGCAAATTTGTTTTTTTTGCTTTTATTTTAGGAACCAAAAGGCATAGTTATAACTTTCCAACTCCATGTGCACCGGGCCCTGGCTCAGACGGGCCACGCCCAATGGCAATTTTTGAGCTTTTAGATTTCATTGTTAACGAGGTATGTTACGTGAGAGAAAAAAAAACTAAAAAAGTAAAACTGTTGGTTTTTATTTCCTTATTAATGACGTATTGCTTACATTACTAAAACAAATAATTCAAAAACAGACCAAAAACATTACATTTTGGCGAAAAAGTTTTGAAATCTTAATAAAAATTAGAAGGCTGTAGAGTTTTTTGCTTGTTGCATAAGCTGTATATTTGAAGTGATTGGTGTGTTATTTCAGTCTCGTACCCCTGAAACCTGCTAGGCTTTATCGTCATCATAACAGTCATTTTCATGATCATCATCAAGTTTTTACACACTAACAGTTATACTTATCTCATATAAAACATAACATTTTGCATGGGTTTGTGGTTTTAATATTTAAAAACAATTTGAAATAAAGATAAACAATCCTTGTTCATAAAAAAATAAGCAAGTCTGAAAAAGAAAAAAATTATGATTGAAAAATATGAAAAAAGGATGAATTAGAAGGTTAAGGTACATTCAGTATTCATCTATGATATAACTATTATACCAGTTGGCAGCATTTTTGGAATGCGTTGCTTTTATGTTTGGAGTTGTCTAAGCATAATGCATATTATATAGCCTCTTTATTGTATAATCTTGAAAACCTAGATTTGGATTGACTTGCAAATCAAATATTAGTGTAGGCCTAAGCTTTAAGTTTTCTTGTTTCCCAGTATTCAATAATTGCCTTGAAGTCTCCATATTTGCAATGCAATGAGTTGCCTTGATTTTCCCCGTAGTTTGGTGTAAGAAGCCTTGTTTTTCCAACAATTTTGTGATAAGTTGCCTTGAAATTTCCTGATTTTAATGTATGTTGCTTTTATTTTTACCTCAGTTTTAAATAAAATACCTGCAATGATTTTCCCACAGTTTGGTATTAATAGCATTTTTTTGACAATAAATTTCTGTAATAGTCCCGCATTTTGCAATATGTTTGTAATGATTTTGCAATACCTTCCTTTAATTTTTCCTGAGTTTATCAAGAGGTTGCATTGTGCATTATGCAGCCATGCTTTTATTACTTGTCTTGAATTTCCTCCACGTTGCCTTAAATCTAGACCAACATGCCTTAAATCTGGAGCGACAATTTGCTAGACTGCTGCTAAGCTGTCCTCATTATAAGTTTGCAATAATTTGACATAATATTTGTAAAATTTGCAGTACATTACTTTGGAATTCCCAATTGTTGCATTATTTTTTGGTATCTTGATTTTGCATCAGCTAGTCATGTTTTTTTTTTCACAATAGTTTTGCAATGCATAGCCTAGTTTTTGTATACACTAGCCTGCCCAGTATTTGAAATGTAAACTTTTACAGAAAAGGGTTTTGTATTACTTTGCAGTTAGAAATTGACTTTTTTTTAACATTTTCAGTTAGTATGTATTTATTTCCCATAATTTTATCGGAGGAATTTAGACTTTTTGAGTAACTTATAAATTATTTTCTTGTTTTACCTTAAGTTTGCCATTTTGAATAGGTGAAAAATTTGTTCACTCTTTTCCGCCATTTCCTTTGAGTGATTGTACTCTTTGAAGTGAATTTTTCCAGTGGTTAATGCTTTCAAATTTAAACAACCTCCCGACATGTTAATGTTAGTTTCTGCAGGTCACTTCACCATGGTAACATTGTGTTCTATGTAAGTGCAGAGCATAAAAATATTAGTTATGCATTTAGTATTATTTCCCAGAATGAAGCTGGGCTATGTGTTCATGTTAGTATTATAAATTGTAAAAAATTTGCATTTAGTGTCTAAAAGTAAAAAAACTTAGCCAATTATTCACCCCGGATAGCCAATACCTTATTAGTTTACTAAAGTAGAAATTGAATTGTAGATGTTTTAAAAGTTGTTAGGATAGTTTATATCAAGTTAGCAAATCTTTAGCAATAACGTTTTTCAACTTCCTTATATTGGTTAATTAAAAAATCTGATAAAAGTATGGAAACTTTATTAGTGCCCCATTTTAATAGATTGAAATATGATAATTATGCCCCCATTTCGAAGAAAAGGGGGTATATTGCTTTGCACTTGTCGGTCCGTCGGTCCGTCGGTCTGTCGGTCCGTCGGTCCGTCGGTCCGTAGACCAAATGGTTTCCGAGTGATAACTAAAGAACCCTTAGGCCTAGGAACTTAAAACTTGGTATGGTGATTGGTCATGACAAGTAGATGACCCCTATTGATTTTGGGGTCAAGGGGTCAAAGGTCAAGGTCACATAGACCTTGTAAGCAAAAACGGTTTCCGATCAATAACTAAAGAACCTTAAGGCCTAGGAACTTCAAACTTGGTATGGTGATTTGTCATGATCAGTAGATGACCCCTATTGATTTTGGGGTCAAGGGGTCAAAGGTCAAGGTCACATTGACCTCTTTGGTAAAAACGGTTTCCGATCAATAACAAAAGAACCCTTAGGCCTAGGAACTTCAAACTTGGTATGGTGATTGGTTATGACCAGCAGATGACCCCTATTGATTTTGGGGTTAAGGGGTCAAAGGTCAAGGTCACATTGACCTTGTAGGTAAAAACGGTTTCCGATCAATAACGAAAGAACCCTTAGGCCTAGGGACTTCAAACTTGATATGGTGATTGGTCATGATCAGTAGATGACCCCTATTGATTTTGGGGTTAAGGGGTCAAAGGTCAAGGTCACATTGACCTTGTAGGTAAAAACGGTTTCCGATCAATAACGAAAGAACCCTTAGGCCTAGGGACTTCAAACTTGATATGGTGATTGGTCATGATCAGTAGATGACCCCTATTGATTTTGGGGTTAAGGGGTCAAAGGTCAAGGTCACATTGACCTTGTAGGTAATAACGGTTTCCGATCAATAACTAAAGAACCCTTAGCCCTAGGGACTTCAAACTTGATATGGTGATTGGTCATGATCAGAAGATGACCCCTATTGATTTTGGGGTCAAGGGGTCAAAGGTCAAGATCACATTGACCTCTTAGGTAAAAACAGTTTCCGATCAATAACTAAAGAACCCTTAGGCCTAGGAACTTCAAACTTGGTATGGTGATTGGTCATGATCAGTAGATGACCCCTATTGATTTTGGGGTCAAGGGGTCAAAGGTCAAGGTCACATTGACCTCTTAGGTAAAAACAGTTTCCGATCAATAACTAAAGAACCCTTAGGCCTAGGAACTTCAAACTTGGTATGGTGATTGGTCATGACCAGCAGATGACCCCTATTGATTTTGGGGTTAAGGGGTCAAAGGTCAAGGTCACATTGACCTTGTAGGTAAAAATGCTTTCCGATCAATAACTTTAGAACCCTTAGGCCTAGGAACTTCAAACTTGGTATGGTGATTGGTTATGACCAGCAGATGACCCCTATTGATTTTGGGGTTAAGGGGTCAAAGGTCAAGGTCACATTGACCTTGTAGGTAAAAACGGTTTCCGATCAATAACGAAAGAACCTTTAGGCCTAGGGACTTCAAACTTGATATGGTGATTGGTCATGATCAGTAGATGACCCCTATTGATTTTGGGGTCAAGGGGTCAAAGGTCAAGGTCACATTGACCTCTTAGGTAAAAACAGTTTCTGATCAATAACTAAAGAACCCTTAGGCCTAGGGACTTCAAACTTGGTATGGTGATTGGTCATGACCAGCAGATGACCTCTATTGATTTTAGGGTTAAGGGGTCAAAGGGCAAGGTCACATTGACCTTGTAGGTAAAAATGCTTTCCGATCAATAACTTAAGAACCCTTAGGCCTAGGAATTTCAAACTTGGTATGGTGATTGGTCATGACCAGCGGATACCTATTGTTTTTAGGGTCAAGGGGTCAAAGGTCATGTAACATTGACCTTGTAGGTAAAAACGGTTTCCGATCAATTAACTAAAAACGCTTCGGCCTAGGAACTTCAAACTTTGTATGATGATTGGTGGTGACCAGCAGATGACCCCTATTGAGTTTTGGGTCAAGGGGTCAAAGGTCAAGGTCACATTGACCTTGTAAGTAAAAATGGTTTCTGATCAATAACTTAAGAACGCTTAGGCCTAGGAACTTCAAACTTGGTATGGTGATTTTTCATGACCAGCAGATTACCCCTTTTGATTTTGGGATTAAGGGGTCAAAGGTCAAGGTCACATTGACCTTGTAAGTAAAAACGGTTTCTGATCAATAACTAAAGAACGCTTCGGCCTAGGAACTTCAAACTTGGCATAGTGATTGGTCATGATCAGCAGATGACCCCTATTGATTTTGGGGTCAAAGGTCAAGGTCACATTGACCTTGTATGTTAAAACGGTTTTGGATCAATGATAAAAGAACCCTTAGGCCTAGGAACTTCAAACTTGGCATGGTGATTAGTCATGACCAGCAAATGACCCCTATTGATTTTGGGGTCAAGGGGTCAAAGGTCAAGGTCACATTGACCTTGTAAGTAAAAACGGTTTCTGATCAATTAACTAAAAACGCTTAGGCCTAGGAACTTCAAACTTTGTATGATGATTGGTCTTGACCAGCAGATGACCCCTATTGAGTTTTGGGTCAAGGGGTCAAAGGTCAAGGTCATGACCAGTAAATACTTGATAACCCTTATTAATTGTTTGATCACTGGGTCAGAAGTCGTGCATAATTACCTTATCACATGAATAATTGGCTGCTGATAGGGGGCATACATGTTTTACAAACATATCTTGTTAAAGATTGTTTTTCTAAGGCCATTAACCAGTTTTTGAACATATTATTGTGTAAAAACGATTTGAGAAATGAAAACAAACTCTCGTATAAACTTGCAGGTACCAAAACACTGAAAACCACGGGAGATAATTTATATAGAATTTGGCTCAAATTGTCAAGCTTTTAGCCATGCTTAAAGCATTTCAGTTAATTTGATTCAGCCGTTTATTGTTGTTTGTTTTTGGAAAACGTGTGTTAAAATTGTATGATCAAATAATGTAAGTGTAAAATAATGTAAGGGAGAGTTTTATTTACTGAGTCCCGCTTAATGTGTAAATAGAATGATTGGTCCTAAATATTTTTAACCTAGAATGTTTCAATTAAACTAAGCCAAAAAAGTATCGGAAAATGATATGGACCCAAAAAAAAAAAGAATGTTGTCTCCTTAACATACCTCAAGCTAAACTAAATGAGCTGCGTCATGACAAAACCAACATAATGGGTTTGCGACCAGCATGGATCCAGACCAGCCTGCGCGATCAGGATCCATGCTGTTCGCTTATAAAATCTATAACAAATAGAGAAACCGATAGCGAACAGCATGGATCCTGATGAGACTGCTCAGATGTGCAGGCTGGTCTGGATCCATGCTGGTCGCAAACGCATTATGTTGGTTTTGTCGTGATGCGGCACAAATGTTGTTGCTTTGTTTTTATTCTCTTTAGTCTCTTCTTCCCAAATTCTCAGTGTTGTGCTTTAAGTGTTGTCAATCCAGGCTTTTATAAAAGTTAATTTTGCAAAACACTTTTACACCTGACACAACATTTTTATATGTAAGGAAATATTGAAATTTTCAAAAATTTAAAAAGGAGAAGCAAGAATTGTATTTTTAGCAGTTTTATGAGAACTGTACTCTCTTTGGTAATACAGTACAACTTCTTCAGAGCAACACCCTTTGAGAGATGAAAATTTTGGTTGTTGGTTTGAGGTGCTGCTTTGCAGGGGTTGCACTGTAATTTAGGAATGAACTAAAGGTTTTTAAATAGATTCGTAAGACAAGAGGCTTTTGTTCATGCATGCAGATGTGCTGCTTACTTTTGTGGTCTTAGATTTTTGGTCTTATTTTTATGGTCTTAATAACCAATTCAACTTGTTGAAATTTGATGCTGTTTGTTTAATATGTTATTCATTAAAGATTAGTGAGTATAATTTGAAAATTGAGCAATGCAAGCTTTAGTTTATAGTAAATGATATGCTTATATTGTTTATGGTATGTAGGAAATGCATAAATAGGAAGGAAATGTGCATGTTAGCCAGTAAGCTGGAGAATATGTCGGGGTTCCTTGTTACTTGTTCTTTTGAACAAAAATTTCAGACTTGCTTATTTTGGGAAGAGATTTTTTAATGTTGGCTAAAATATCTGTACTTTATGCTTTTTTGCTTATTCTAAATTGTTTTTAATGGCCTAACCTTTTTAAGTATTGAATTTGAACTTTTATAAATTAAAACACTTTATTGTTAATTTTAAATCAATACAATAAAACACAGAATATGTTACATAGAATTGGAATTTATTACTATAGTACTGAAGTGCCTGTAAATGAAATATGTATAGTACATACAAGAATGTTTAGCATTTGGTTTACTAAATGTAATGATTGTTAAATGAAATAAATTGCTTTTGCACTAAATTGCTTTTTAGCTCGACTTTTCTATGAAAAGGGGAGCTATCCTACTCGCCCCGGCGTCGGCGTTGGCGTCACACCTTGGTTAAGTTTTTCGTACCACCCCACTTTATTTCAGAAGTATTACAAGTATGGCTTTGAAACTTACCATACTTGTTCACCATCATAACCTCCATCTACAGACAAGAGTACATAACTCTGTCAAGGTTTTTGACAGAATTATGGCCCTTTTTTGACTTAGAAAGTGTATTGAGCTTGGTTAAGTTTTTTGTACCACCTCACTTTATTTCAAAACCATTGGAGGTATTGCTTTGAAACTGACCATACTTGTTTACCATCACGACCTTCATCAACAGACAAGAGGACATAACTCTGTCAAGGTTTTTGACAGAATTATGCCCCTTTTTGACTTAGAAAATACATTGAATATGGGTAAAATCCACTTATTGCCTTAACCCTTTGAGATATTGCTTTGAAACTTTTAATGCTATTTCACATCATTACCCCCATCTGTACGCAAGAGAAGGTAACTCTGTCAAGGATTTGTTTTAAAAATTAAGGCCTTTTATCGACTTAGAATCTTGGTTAAGTTTTTAGTACCAGTCCACTTTTTGACTGAACTGTTTGAGATATTAATTTGAAAGTTGGAATACTTGTTTACAATCATGATTCCCAAACATGTCCAGGAGAAGGTAATTCTGTCAAAGATTTTATTTGAATTATGGCCCTTAACTGTCAATGTTTTGTATTATAGGCAAGCACTAAAAAACTTAAAAAATCTAAAAAAATTCATTCCTATCCACTTGTTCACTTTACCATAAATTATGTCATATAAACATTGCTGTAATATTCAAGGGTATCAAACAACTAGTTCACTTTAAAAATACAGAGATTCTTGTATTGCCTTTTACTGCAAAAACTTTTTTTATTGGCAAGCAATAAAAAAGTCGAGCGCGCTGTCTTACGGACAGCTCTTGTTTACATGAAGCGGCTGTGTGTATATGGAAATACTTTTTGGTAAAATGCCAATTTTACATAATTGCCTTTACATTTACATGAAATGACTGCATTTACATGATTGCATTTACATTTACATGAAATGACTGCATTAACATTGTTTTGTTTATAGCCACCACCTACTCTACCAGAAGGAAAGTTTTCTGAAGAATTTATAGACTTCGTAAATAGATGGTATGTTTGTGTTTGTTTCTTAAAAGCTTCTTTTTTTACCTTTTTGCTCAATGAACAGAGACTAGTCTTCAGACAGAAATCTGTGATTTGTCAATTTGGGGTTTGAGATTTATTCATTTTACATTGTCTTTTAATTGAATTTGACATGTTGAAATATAACATTGACCCCAAAGTTCACTAGACACTACTCGATTATCGCAAAGTTCAATTGTATAGAAACAAGAAATGAATGTGATCTTGTTTTTATTTGTTTACATGATTAAAACGGTTATTGTAATCCAAAGAAAGAACAGGCAAATAATGTTTGAGAAATCATAAGTTACCTGCAATGGTTTATCTCTTGATACACTTGAGAGACTAACTTATTTTTCCTCCTTTTTTCAGTTTGAAAAAGAACCCATCAGAAAGAGCTGACCTGCATTCTCTTGCTGTGAGTATTTATTGTGGGACATTTCCACATCACATAACAATTGTTTATTATCAAATATATCACTCTTTTGAATTAGGATAATAGGGGCGTCTGTTTCCTACACGTTGAGGTTGGTGACTTCAAACCACTTTTCCCTCACCTCTTAGGGTTGGAATCCCAACAGGGACTTTGGATTCTTTCATGCGAGAAAGCTATCTAGCCATCTTACGGAATGTGGGGTGTTCTACTCAGGTGCCCATTTGTGCCTGAAATAATGCATAGAAGGTCACGTCAGGTCTTTCTCCTCCAAGAATTAAGATAATTTACAAATCACCCATGCCTGAAATAATGAACAATGGGTGAGCAGAGGTTTATCTGCACCAGTAAAGTCACTGTATGACTTTAATTGTTTCAAAAGAAGTATTCATAAATTAAATGATAGAATTTTCAAAATAGGCCTGAGGATTCTGAAGGATATTTGTGACAATCAAGCTTTATTATATATTGTCAGGATATTGAAATGTTGTGTTATGATACAAAAGAAAATAGCTACTCTAACAACCTTTTAAAACAGTCATTCATACCTATGAGACTGTAAATTATGTCCTAACATTTAGAAGAAAAGAACATTTAGTGTTAAAGTTTTGAATGAAAAATAAGTGCTTGTGACTATCCTAATCAAAGATGTTATCCCTGTAATTGCAGTAAGACTTGATCCATGTATTGTTTGTAGACTGTTATGATTTGTTGAGTTAAAATGATTGTAGAGCTGTATTCAGTAGTAATTGACTGCTATTAGATGTAAATCACTAGATCTCTTACGAGACTAGCAGAGTGTCAATATTTTAGTGAAACCATCTAAATCTGTAGTGTTTGATATACCCAAACATGCCAGAAAAGTTGAAAGCCTGTTCAGCTGTGTTTCCTTCATATTGTTACCATCCATGATGCTTTTTGATATCAGAATTGTATGTCTATGAGTGCTAAGAAATTGGAAGGAGCTTTTATATGCCAAAATGTATTCTACATAGGTTAAAATGTTCAGGATTGTTTCTGAATCAGGATTTTCAGTCTCTCATCAACGCTCTTTTTATCCATATAAAACTACCAATATAACAAACAGTCTTAAATATTTTTAAACTTTTACATTTTCTTGTCATAGTCTACATATATTAACTTTTATTCATATTTTAGACACATCCATTTGTGAAGAAAGCTGAAGCAGAGGATATTGACATAGGCAATTGGGTTTGTAAAGTTATGGACATTAAACCAGACAGCAAAGGATGATAGATAGATGATACATTCCAACTAGAACAACATGGAGGGCCTCTTACCCAGTTAACATACAAACTGCATATTGATTTTTGATAAAAATTGATATAGTATTATAAACTCCTTCTTTTGTAAAACTTTTTTGACTAAAGAAACATATATCTGGAGTATGAGACAGGTGTGATTTTTTTTTCTTGACTGTATATCGTGAGATGTATTTTTTTCTGAATGTTTTATAAGAATAGAAGAAATTTCTAAAAATTTCTGGCATTGAGGAAAAAATGACAGGAATTTAGATTGTATTTTGCTTATGAATATTTCAGCAAGAAAGAAATGATTATGCTGATAAATTGAGATATCTTTCTTGTTTCTGATGATGGACTTATAAATAATATATATGTGCAAAGCGAGACCCTTGGTAAATGAGAAATTTATTGACACAATGGTCTTTCAATTTACATTCTTATCTTTCTTTATAGTCGACAAAATCATCAAATTCCACAGGAGGATTTTCTATGTTATATTTTACTTACTTTTCTTGTCATAAAAAGAACATATCAGTATCAGGTATTTGATATCTATAGTATACTAGTCTTGTTGTCTATATATAGAACATTCTTGTAAATTACCAACTATAGAAGACTTTTGTTATCTATATATAGAACATTCTTGTAAATTACTAAATATAGAAGACTTTTGTTATCTATTTATAGAACAGTCTTGTAAATTACTAAATATAGAGGACTTTTGTTAACTATATATAGAACATTCTTGTAAATTACTAGATATAGAAGTCTTTTGTTATCTATACATAGAACTTTTTTTAGATTGCTAAAAACAGAAACTTTGTTAATTATATAGAGAAAACTTGTAAATTTTTAAAAAATAAAAGAAGTTTTTTTGTTGTATTTTTTTAGAAAATTTTTTGGAAATCCTAAGAATAGACAATTTTTTTAATTATATCAAGAACAGTCCTGGTAAATTTTACAAACTTTTTACTATCTTTGACAATTTTGCCCAGATCACAAAGCTTTTCCTTTTCATAAGTGTCATGAAGCTTCAAATTTTGTTGATAATAGAAACAACTTGGGTTATTTAAAAAAAACAGCTAAACAAATTTTTTGTAACCTTTTCCCGGGGAAATACACCCCCCTTTAAATTTTTAAAATTTTTTTAAACACCCCATAATAAAAGTGCCCAATAGGATAAATCAAAACCCAATACCCCACTGAATAAGGAGTCCCCCAAAACCCTATTCCATAAGGGGTTTTTTGAAAAAACAAATTAAAAAGTAAAATTGGTCAAAATTAAAAAACTATAAAAAACTTTAACGGGAAAATAAATTTTTTTTAAGGTTGTGTTTTAAACAATTTTTTTAAAAAAAAACTAAAATATTTTAAATTAAAAATCCCCTTTCCAAATTTGGAAATATAATATCTTTTTTTGGTTGGGTTTAAAACAAAATTTTGTTTTTACATGAGTTAAAAAATTTAATTAAACTTTTAAAAAAACTTGAGGTTTTTTTTTCCCCAAATTTTTCAGAAAAATTGGGGCTACTTAGGGTTTTTTTAACAAATTTAAAAGTGTTTTATTACCAATTTTGGGGAAAATTATGTCAAATTTTTAAAAAGTTTTGGAAAAGGGTTTTGAATATTTTTTCCAGTGGTTAAATTAATAATTTGTGGGCCTTTTTTTTAAACAATAAAATTTTACAGTAGTTAAAAAACAATAAAATTTGATGTATAATTTTTCTCTCTCTTTTACAGGGATTTAGGGAAATATGGCTAATTTATTATTAATTTTTTGATTATGTCTCATAACTAGGCAAAAAAGGCTTATAGGATACCCATTTTGACTTTTTTTGTGTAGGTGTACAGGTTTTTAAGATTTTTTTTCCAAAAATGATGAGTTTTTGTTTGTTTTGGTTTATGCAGCATTAATTTTTAGTGAAATAAATAACAACAAGTTCCTTTTTTATACCAGTAAAAAGAAATCTCAGTTGTTTTTTTTTTATTTATTTTATTAGTTTTTTTTTAAATTTTTTCATAATAGTAACTGTCATTTCTGTAATACATGTATATAACTGTTGAATGAAATATTTCAGAATTTCTGCTGTCATGGTCATTTTTTTTTCTTCATGAAAAATAAAATTTAAAATTTAAAAATTTTTTTCATTTAAAAAAAGATTTTAATTTTAAATCAAAAATGTTTAAAAAGGGAAAAAACTTTCCGGGTTTCCCGGCCTTTTTCGGCATTTTAAATGTTTCCGCCCAATCAAAAAATGAATTTTGGGTAAATTTTTTTAAAATATCGTAAAAACCCCGGCCCCATCGGGTGTCTGTTATTGAAAATCAATAGCGAAATTGAAAAGAATTTTTTTAAAACTTTGAAATATTTTTTTGTGGGTTCTTTTTAAAAAAAAAAATTGGGCCGGTTTTTTTTACGAAATATTTTTATTCCCAGGGCCCGAGAAGATCCCCCTTTAGCCCAGGGCTTTAATTAATCGGTATAAAACACATTTCAGTTTGTAAATAAACCAAAAAAAAACTTTTCAAAATCCACAATACCATGCCTTGGGCATTTTCTTAATTTTGCGTGACTTTAAGGTTAACCCACCCTTCCCCTTTTGGTTTTGGGGTTTTCGCTTAATTATACAAAAATTTTTAAAATTAGAAAAACCCCCAAAAATTTTTTTTGCAGGGAAATTTCCCCTCATTGGAAAGGGTTTAAAAGTTTTACTTTAATTCACATTAAAGGTCGGGAATTTCCGGGGAAAATTTTTTGTTTTGGGGGAAAACAGGTTTAAATATTAAAGGTCGGGAAATTTTCTTTTTTTCCATTGAGATCAAGCAATTCGGCCAAATTTTCTCGTTTTTATCATTCGGTTTTTTCGAAAGCCCGGTTCGATTCCCCTCATAGGGGAAGGGTTTTAAAAAAACCGGGCGATTTTTTTCGCTTCTTAAAGGGAAAAGGTTAACCCTTTGTCAATCAAAAAAATAGTTTTGTGAATTTTCTAAATTTTTTGAAATACATGTTTTGTTTTTTTTAGGTTAAAAAATAATTCTTAAACTATCTCCATAGGTTATATGAATAAAAGCATTTATATGCTATAAAGGCAATCATCATCTAATGAATCAATTATGTTAAAAAAAAACAAAAAATAAAGGACATATTATGTCTCAGAAATGACTATATTTTCTTTCCGTAGAAAGGACAAACACAGTATTTTGTAATTTGAAATAAAGGTTTAGAACATAATTATGCTTATTACCGGAAGGAAAATATTGTTGAATGTGACCATTTGTGTGGCAAAGGTACCAAAAGGTAAACCAATTAGTACTTTGACTTACATACAATTGGCAAAATAATCAAAAATTGGCTCAGCTATGTAGCCAATGCAAATTTTTTATGGAAACTGTAACAGTACACACAAAAATCTTTTGAAAAAATAAGGATAATAGGATTTTTTGGTAAAAATTAATTTGGGCCCTAAAACAAAAGGTATCTCCAGAAATTAGTTTTGGGTTTCATTTTAATTTACAATTAAAAACAAAAATTTTTTTAAAACAAATTTTTGGGTGTTTTGACAAAATGTATGAAACTATCATTGAAAAATGTGGCAGATTTTCAATGGGCCCATGTTATCTTTTAAAAAATGGGGGAAAATGCAAAAATTTGTTTATTTATTAAAAAGGAAATATTTAAAAGTTTTCCCATTTTTTCCTGATATTTTTTAAAAATAGTTCTCTTCAAAATTTCATGTTTTTTATTTTTAATTTTGGGGTACTTTCTAAAATTTTTAAAAAATTTTAAAAATTTTTTTAAAAATCGAAAATTTAAACTTTTAATTTTGAAATTTTTAAAAATTTTATATGAAGAAAAAATATTATGACAATCTTTTTCAATTTTTTTTTTTCTCTCAATTTTTTTGTTATTGGTTTAAACCCAAACCAGGGTGTTTTTGGGTTTAAACTTTTTTTGGGGTTTTTTGGTAAAAATTTAATTTTAAAATTTAAAAATTCTTAATCTGAGCAAATTTTTGATTTTTTTTTGAAATTTTCTCAATGTACCAAATCAATTTAAAATATCTTTCCCAAATTTACTTTTGGTGAAAATAAAAATTTTGTAAAAAATTTTTAAAAAAGTCCTTTTAGTATCTTGGTTTTTTGGAAAATCAAATTTTTAAAAAGACCCCGGGCCTAAAACCAATTAAGTTGGGTGGGCCCGGGAGGGCCCCAGGGGGAAAAGGGTTAAAGTTTGCTGACTTCAAAAAAAACTCGTACTTTATTCCCGGGTTGGGAAAAGAATCCCATGTGATAAAGCTATTTTTATAATTTTTTGAAAATTTGTTTTGGGTTCAAAACGGGGAATTCCTCACCTTTGTGGAGAAAAATGCAGAAAAAGGGCACCTAAATTTTCCTGTCCCCTTTTAATCGGGAAAAGTCATCATTTTGGGTTTTAGAGGCCAGGGGTAAATTTTTAAATTTTAAAGGCCTTTTTTGCCAGAATGGCACCTAAAGGTCCTTTTTCCCCCATTAAAGCGGGAAATTGGCTTTATCCCCGTGCAATGTTATAACCCAATAAAAGAATTGAAACTAAAAAAAATTAAAAGTCTTGGAAAAGGAAACGAAGTGTGTGGAAATTTTTTTTTAGGTGGAAAAAAAAGAAAAAATTTAAGGGTTTAAACTTTTTGCATATTTGGAAAAAAGTCACCGGGTTGTTTAAAAAAGTTTGTTTTTATTTATTTTTTAGAAGAAAATAAACCCCTTTTCCTTTAATTTTATGAAGAAAAAATTAAAAAATTTTCTGAATGTTTTATTTAATTGAGGTGGGGAATTTTTAATTTTTAATGATTTGCATTTTTTAAAAATTTTAAAAAACATGTTTTTTTTTTGGATGATAAAAAATTTGGTGACTCAAAAATAACAATATTTAGAGCAAAATCACTGTCAACTGATCGTTTTAACACTAATCAGTTTTATAAAATCTTTTTTGATTAAAGGATAGTTGAAAATGAAAAAAAATCAAGATAATTGATTTATTTTATTTTTTGGTTAAAAGATACATCATTTAACAATGCATCATTTTTAGATTTCATTTTCCTGCCAAATTTGAGTGCTAGTTCCTGTTATAAAAGTTTGCCTTTGTAACTGATGAAGAGTCAGGCTGAATATTGTGGAACCCAGGCCAGCCGTTGTCCCTTAATAAATTAAATAAATTTTGCTTTTCTCGGGTTTTTTACTGATAAAAACCCTTTCCAAATTTCTTGCATTTAAACGGCTAAATCGGGCCCAGCCTGTGTCAACCCAGA